TTCAGGGAACGCCAATGCCTCCTCATTGCAAACCTGAGCGACAGATAGTCCCTGCAGGACGGCTGAGAAGCCTCGCCTCTCGGCCCTGCCTTCATCAGCCCCATCCCTCAAGTGTCTCCCTGCCTCCCTCAGCCTCATCCCTCAGGTGTCTGCCTCGTTCCTCTCTCAGTCACTCTCTCACTCCTCCACCAGCCCAGGAAGAAACTGCTTCAAAGAAGCCTGCAGGGTGGCTTTTCCTGTCGGCGCAGCTTCCCCAAAGCGCCCGTTCACCCCCACCTCGCCGCCCACGGTTCAATCCAGTGCTCCGTTCTGCCTGTCTGCCTTCGTTTCTGGTGGTTTCGGAGCGCAGCTTCTCCGAAGCACCCGTTCACCCCCGCCCCGCCCCGCCGCCCGCGGTTCAATCCAGTGCTCCGTTCTGCCTGCCTGCCTGCCTTGGTTTCTGGTAGTTTCGGAGCAGCTTCGGCTGAGAAAAAGAGGCGAATAGTTATTATTCTCAGCCGAAGCTGCTCCGAAACTACCAGAAACGAAGGCAGGCAGGCAGGCAGAACGGAGCACTGGATTGAACCTGGATTGATTGGCGGTGGGGTGGGGGTGAAACGGGCGCTTCGGAGGAGCTGCGCCGACAGGAAAAGCCACACACACACACCCCCCGGCTTCTTTGAAGCAGTTTCTTCCTGGGCTGGTGGAGCAGCGAGAGAGCGACTGAGAGAGGAATGAGGCGGGAGGAAACCGAAGCCGCTGAGCCAGAGAGCAGGACAGGCTTCGGTTGCTTCCTCCCTCCCCTTCTCTCATTTGTGTCCTTGATCCCCGATCCCAGCAGCATTCACCGAAGGCGAAGAAAGCCGCCATTTTTTTAAAAAAAATTTTCCTTTGCGGCCTGGTACAGAGTGCTCCACGGACCGGTATCGGTCCGCGGCCCGGTGGTTGGGGACCCCTGTACTAGAGAACTGCAAGATGTGAATGATCAGGAAATCAAAACTTTATTCCATATATGTTCTGTTTCTATATTCCAATCTCTTTCACACAAAAAATACATATAAGTGAAGCATCTTACGAATTTTTTATTGCTTGCACTGGAATGAGTGGTAACTAAATAAGAGATCAGAAAATGTAGATTATTTAAAATAGTATATATTGATTTTTACCATTTGCCTTATTGCGGAGATCGAGAACTGCCCCCATCTTGATCCTTTCACCGTTTTTTGAATGCAATAAAGGGGCAAGCAATGCTCTCTCTTTACAAAAAGGCGACCATACATTTTTGTCTGCGAACGGATATGGAGTGCCTAATTCTTTCTACAAATACCACTGCGTGCATGCTTATTTGTGAAATGTTCTATTGGTTTTAGTGGGGGATTACGAATAAGCATATGTACCCTGTAACTGAACTGTATATCTCTTCAGTGTTACAAAATATTATATGTAATTAATATTTTTCCAGGTGGTCGAAATGGTTATGGTGCAAAGCTGTGCAATATATTCAGTACCAAATTTACAGTGGAAACAGCATGCAAGGAATATAAGAAGCTTTTTAAACAGGTATAAGAAACTGCGCCAAAAATTTGATTTCATTGTTTTTAAGGGACAGCCCCAAAGCTTAAGCTCCTAAATTTGTTTCATATTTGATTTTTAATCCATTTCAACATCTCAATACTTCCTGATAAGCGTATCTCAAATATTTAGTGATAAGCATAAGGGATGAAATTAAGATAGTTTGGGCCAGCAAGGAACATATATTTTAAGCCTAGATTAAAAAATGTATTTTGTAGAACACGGGTGGCATCATGTGACATGACATTTTTTTCCCTTCGTAGATCTGCGTGTCACGCATCTGGCCTACAGGCCACAAGTTTGACACCCCTGCTGTAGAAGAAGAAATGTATCCTCCCACTAATGTACCTAATAATTCTATTGGTCTTAATTCCTTTGCAGACGTGGACTGTAAATATGACTGAGGCAGGAGAGACAAAATTGAAGCATTTTGTTGGCGAGGACTTCACACGTGTTACTTTCCAGCCTGACCTGTCCAAATTTAAAATGACTGTATTGGATAAAGATACTGTGGCTCTTATGTCTCGCAGAGCCTATGATATTGCAGGAACAGCTAAAAATATCACAGTATTCTTAAATGGAAAGAAATTACCTGTGAGTTACTAAAATGGGCAAAAGAAACTGCCGGTGTGCAAAATTCACTGGTCCCTTCCTTTTAACATGTTAACAGCCAAGAGAACTTTAAAAAAAATGTAGAAATTTTTGCACTTTGTCTCCTCTGTAGGTCAAAGGATTCCGTAGTTACGTAGACATGTACATAAAAGATAAAGTGGACGACACTGGCAATGCACTGAAAGTAATCCATGAAAAAGTTAATGACCGGTGGGAAGTGTGTCTAACCATGAGTGAAAGGGGTTTCCAACAAGTTAGTTTTGTCAATTGCATTGCAACGACTAAGGTAAACAGTTACAAAGGTCTATAGGGCTTTTGTGAATCTGTCATCTAATCATACTTTATCAAAGCATTCAGTGAAGAAAAACCTTTCTTACTTGGCAATTCTGCATTTTGTGTTTTATTAAACCTAATCTTACTGTAGTTTAGAACTAAAATACATAGATTATGTAATATGATCTCAAGGTCATGTTGCAAATGGACTCTAGTTGTAGACTTTTTGGGGTTGGAGTTATTTTTTCTCAAGCTTTTCTTTAACAATTAACAATGTTGAGAAATTGTAATAAAGAAATGATTGAATGGTAATCAAGTCAGAGAGAAATAGATGATAATTATAAATTGGATAAATATAGAGAAAAATAATAATAATAATGAAATTGAATAAGAGTAAAGAGAAATAAGGAGAAATTTGATAAGAGATATTTGTATGTTCATATGAAATGGTCTAAAATAGAATTATGTTGTATTAAATAATGTTTTATTTGACTTGTAAAATTTATAATGGAAAGAGGTTTATGTATTTAATCGTTAATGATGGTTTGTTTGTCTTTAAAATTAATAAAATTTGTTTTAAAAAAAATAAAGAAATGATTGAGTATAACAAGAAATTCAAGTAGTCCTCAACTTAAAACAGTTCATTTAGTGACTGGCACTGAAAAAAGTGACATGAGCAGTTTTCACAGTTACGACCAGAGGTGGGATTCAAAAATTCCAGCAACCAGTTCTCTGCTCGGTTGCTGGGTGGGCGTGGCCTTCCTTGGGGGAACGTTTTTTGCCTTCCCCGGAGCCTCCAAATGAGCCCTGCACTTACCTGCATCCAAAACGGGCTGCATGGAGACTGCGGGGTGGGGCCAGCCAGTAGAACTACCAGTTCTGCGAATCAGATGTAAATTTACCATGAATCCCACCCCTGTTACGACTGTTGTAGCATCCCCATGGACATGTGATTAAAATTCAGGTGCTTGGGCACTTGATTCATATTTATGATGGTTGCAGTGTCCCAGGGTCATGTAATCCCCTTTTGCACTTTCCAAAAAGCAGATTCACTTAAAAATCTGGCTAACAACTACAGTCATTAACTTAACGGTGGCAAGAAAAATTGTGAAATGGGGCAAACTCACTTAACAAATGTTTCACTTAGCAACAGAAATTTGGGGCTCAATTGTCATAAGTTGAGGACTACCTGTATAGCAAACTCCTAATAAAACAGATTTTACAGAATAAAAGCCTAACTCTATTTTAGGTTACTGTACTAGCAACTGCTTTGTTGTTACTACTGTGTCTGCATTGCCAAAATACATGTAATGTCCTCTAAAATATTGACTTTTTTTCTAGGGTGGCAGACATGTAGACTATGTTGCTGACCAGATTGTCAATAAACTCATAGATGTAGTAAAGAAAAAAAACAAAGGTGGGGTTGGAGTGAAGCCTTTCCAGGTATAAGTCTCAATTGTTTCTTTTTCACCAATCTCATATTTGCTCCAAGTGAAAAATCCTAGTGAAATTTTTAATGCTTCCAATGCTTTTCAGTCCCCCAAAAGAATAGTTAAATCTTTAGTGATTCTGTCCAGCTGTTCTCAATATAGTCCAATAATAAATACAGGCTGGGCAAAATGGTGTGCAAATAAAGAAATAGTTCCAATGAGAGCACGATGGTATATAAAAAGCCTGACTTGTGCATAAGGTTTAATTACAAAATATATCTTTTATTAGGACTGAAGTGTGCAGCACTTCAGATTTGAAGGCAAAAAGAGGCTTTGGAGCACATGAAGACACTTGTAACATTTGTCTATTCCCTAAAATGAATGTATCGTTAAATACTGTGCGAATGCCAGCTGTGAGCTCCAAGAGAAAGCGGCTACAAAAGAATTGGTCTAGTGAATGTGAAAGCTTGGCAGGCAGAAGAGAGTCGGAAATAAAGAAGTAAAGAGAATTTTGGAAGTCTGAAGACCAGCACGGGGGGCGATTAAAAAGACTCTATTATCACTAACATTTGGATTGAAGCTATTAAATCGGATCCAGAAGCAGAACGAAGCCGATCGGGGGGAAAGACAGAGCAACGCCATAGGCAGTATCCAGAACGCTGAAGTGATTACAACAAAGTAACAGATCTAACTGTCTGAAGGGACACAATCTAATCTATAAACTCTGGGAAAATTGAGAACAGGTCCTAGCAGAGGAGACAGTTCCTTTTCTATTCGAAGGAGATCAGAACAATTGATTTAAAGAACATTAAAATATAAGTAAAAGAGGAAGTCTTTAAATGAGTGGGAACATTGCTTACTGGCAGCTGTTACTCAGCAAATCTTCATTTGCCATTTCCGGTGTGCTCGAAGTGGAAGCTTCCAAAGTGAAAAGCGGAAACAAAAACTCTTGTCTTTGGAATTTTCTTTTTTCTTTTCCTCTACCCTTTTCTGTGTGTATATACTTACTAAAATAGCCTCTCTTCTTTCTTACTTGTTGATGGTATGCTATGTTGAAATATGCTTGCTTTTTTTTTTTCCTCTGATTTCCTCTTGATAAATATGTACATTTAGTAATGAAATATTAGAGTGTTAAAATTAAAATATTGGATTAATTAATTTAGTTAAGTTATTATTAATAGAGATTGTTATAATTTGAATGGGAATATAGGGGAGACAGTAAGAATATTAAGCATTAGTTATTTAACAAGCTTAGAGCTCTCTAGACCAGGGGTCAGGGAACTTTTTTACCTTTTACCCCCCAAAAAATTTATAAACGCCGACGTTACCCCCTTGATTTGAAAGGAAGGTCCTTGTGTATGTAAACTATACAAACAGAATGTCGGAAATAAAATGCCTGGGGGTAATGAGAACGGTCGCGCCAGTGCGACCGTCCTCATTACCCCCAGGATTTTCAGTTTTACCCCATTTGGGGTAATTTACCCCTGTTCCCCGACCACTGCTCTAGACTAATATATTTCATTGTGTGGGTTTATCTGTGAATGTAATATATTTTGTAGTTAAGGTTACTTTATATTGAAGTCAAACTAGAGAAAAATATATACACTTTACTAATTAGTTAAGAATATAGCTACTTAATAGATTGATAGATCTTGGTCAATTTTAGTTACAGAACTAAGAATACTGAATGCCAATTTGGAATAATATATTTAGTATTGTACAACAACAAAAACAAATTTTAAAGGAAATGACTACTACAACTACCACTGCTTTGAAATCTGGTAGGAAGGTTAATCCCACAATAATGACCACTTTGGCAACAACTTCACCCATGGCACAAAAAACAATAGAGGAAACACTACCAACAGAGAAGTCAACTAGCATCTCGAATGCGAATATCCAAGCAATGTTCCTAACTTTACAGGACTCATTGACAAGATTGCAAGAAACAATGATTAAAAACCACAGTGAAACAAGGGCAGATATCAATGAATTGAAGGAAGAAATGGGGAAACTAAAGACAGAAATGAAAGCGGACATTTCCAAAGTAGAGGATAAAGTGGGGGTGTTGCAGCAGGCCTTGGAGAAAAACGAAGTTATAATAAAAGAAGTAGAGAAAAGAACCGAACGAACAGAAAGGGAATTAGAAAGGGTGGATGAAGATCTCAAAAGCATGAGCAAAGAAATGGAGGACTCCCTTGTCCTCCTAGAAATGGACAAGGCAGCAACTTACCTAAGATTCCAAAATGTGGCAGAATCAAAAGAAGAAGACCTGGAATACTTGATGGCAGAAATACTGGCCGGTTTATTGAAGATGGATAAAGATGAAATTCAAAAAGAGTTTGATGAAGTCTACCGGGTCAATACAAACTATGCAAGACGCCACAAATGTTCCAGGGAAGTACACATACGATTCACTAGAAGATGTGTTCGAGACATGATATATAGAACCTCAAGAGATAAAACAATAACCTACAAAGAGAAAGAAATTGTGATTCTTAAACAGATACCGAGGAGAATAAGGGAACAAAGGCGTGACTATAAATTTCTGGCAGCATATTTAAATAAAAAAAGAATCACATTTAAATGGCTTATTCCAGAAGGAATGTTAGTGTCGTGGAAAGAGAGGAAAATCAAAATAGATACTATGGAAAAAGCCCAGGATTTTTACGAACGGATGGTGGGCCCACAGGAGCAAAGTAGTAGAGAGAAATTGGATACAAAGTTTCAAGAAGAATACAGTGGACATAAAAATAGAACTGGATCGGTAGGAAACCAAGAAAATACCTATCCACAACAAAAGACAGAAGGAACTACATCAATACAAGCGCAAGAAGAGAGAGGAATTGTTACACGACAAAGAGCAAAACAAAACTAAATAGATGGGAGAAGAAAAAAAATTACTATCAATAAACATAAATGGTTTAAATTCAACAATTAAGAGAAAAAGGATATTATCTAAATTAATTAAACATAATGCAGATATAACGTGCCTGCAAGAAACTCATATAAAGAAGAAGGATGAAAAATATTTAGAATGCCCGAAATTAGGAAAGTTATTTACCACACCAGCAGATGAGGAGAAAAAGAAGGGAATCGCAGTATATGTGAAAGAGGATTTGAAATCTGAGCTAATATGGTCGGACTTAGAAGGAAGGACTCTGGGTTTGCAGATCTGGATTAATGATATTCCAATTCTTTTAGTAGTAATATATGCCCCAAATGGAGACCAAAAAGAGTTTTTTAAACACCTATATGGAAAATTGGTTGAATTGCAAAAAAGAAATATTTGTATGGTAGGGGACTTCAACTCCATTGCTGATTTCCAAAATGATCACAGTAATGCCGGGAAGAATAAAAAGGGGAAGAGAGAGCTCCCCAAGATTTGTAGGGAAATGATGAAAGAGCTAAACCTGACAGATATATGGAGAAGATTACATCCTGAAAAAAGACAATTTACATTTTATTCAAATCCCCACCAAACATGGACACGGATTGATATGGCATGGATGAGTGGGGAGATAGCAAACGAGACAAAAGAAGTGGAAATTTTGCCTAATGAATGGGCAGACCATAATCCAATACAGGTAATATGGAAGGGCAGGGCAAAACCAAAGAAAAGATGGACCTTAAACACTCAATTAATAAGAGAGAAAGAATACATTAATAAATTAAAGGAGGAATTGAATTTTTTTATTAAAGAAAATGATAATGGAGAAACCACGAAACAAAATGTCTGGGATACGATGAAGGCGGTTATAAGAGGCACAACAATCTCTTATAATGCCAAGAGAAACAAGGAAAAATATTCCCAACAAAACAAATTACAACAAAGAATTAAGGAGCTAGAAACCCTTCTACAAAATAACCCAAAAGAATCCAAACTGCAAAATCAGATAAGTATAGTCAAACACAAACTGAATTTAACTGATCAAGAGAAAATGACTATGAATTTGAACTTAACCAGACAAATCTATTTTGAACATGCCAACAAGCCAGGAAGATGGCTATCTTATAAATTGAAAAAAAAAGAAAGAGAAGAGATTGATATACCAGTTAATAGATAGCAAAGGAGATACATACCAGGAAATAGAACAGAAAAAAGAAATCATTCATAAATACTTTGAAGATTTATACAAAAGAGAGGATGTCAGTGAAGATAGAATAAGGAATTATCTAGATGAAGTAAAGGATAAGGCAATTGGGGAAGAAATGGCTGAACTATTAAATAAAGACATTACTGAATCGGAATTGAAATCAGCAATAGAGAGCCAGAAAAATAATAAAACCCCGGGCCCAGACGGGATCCCAGGGGAGCTGTACAAGGCAATAGCAGATCAAATCGGACCACTTATGGTGGAAGTTTTTAATGACGTTTTACTAGCAGCCAGGATGCCGGACTCATGGAGGGGGGCACTGATTCCGCTGATCCCGAAGGAGGATACAGATCCCAGATATATAAACAATTACAGGCCGATTTCACTCCTAAATACTGATTATAAAATATTCACTTCTATTATAGCAAACAGATTAAAAAGATTGCTAAACTTGTATATACATGAAGATCAAAACGGATTCCTTCCAACTAGGCAAATAAAGAATAATCTAAGAATAGTATTAGACGTACTAGAATTTTATGAAGCCCACCCAGAGAGACAAGTAGCACTCATGTTCCTAGATGCAGAAAAAGCTTTCGATAATTTGAATTGGCAATTTTTAATTCAAAAAATTTATAATTTGAATCTGGGTACCAAATTTGAAAATATTATAACAACTATATATGATACACAACAAGCTAATATAATAGTGAATGGGGAATGCACCCGCCCAATAAAGATAGAAAAAGGAGTGAGACAGGGTTGCCCACTCTCTCCCCTGCTCTTCATATTAGCATTAGAGACATTATTAACACGAATTAGGCGGAATTCACATATAAAGGGATTAACAGTTAAGAAAGAGGAATATAAATTGCAAGCGTTTGTGGACGACATGATTTTCTTCCTTGAAGAACCAAAAGACGGGACCAAAATTGATGAGTGAATTAGAGAAATTTGGAGCAGTAGCGGGACTTAAAATAAACAAAAAAAAAAAAAACCAAATTAATGACCAAAAACCTAACAGAAAAACAGAAAATAGAACTAGAAGAAATAATGCATATACAAGTGACAAAGAAAGTGAAATACTTAGGAATTTGGCTAACCCCACACTGTAAGACACTTAAAGAAAACAATTATGATAAACTGATACACCAGGTAAAGAAAGATTTAGAATCGTGGGGGAAACTTCAAATTTCACTACTAGGCCGAATTGCTACTATTAAAATGAACATTCTCCCTAAATTCTTGTACCTATTCCAAACGATCCCAATTAAATTACATAAAAAGTTTTTTGAAGAACTCAATAGAACAACCCTGAAATTTATTTGGCAAGGGAAAAAACCCAGAATAAATGTAAAAGCAATGCAGGATATGAAGAGCAGGGGAGGGTTAGCATTTCCAAACTGGGAGTTATACCATATGGCCACCTCATTAGTTTGGTTGAAGGATTGGGTGAATTTAACCAATAAAAGAATACTATTTCTAGAAGGCCATGATTTACAAAGGGGGTGGCACGCCTTTCTATGGGACGTAGGGAAAACCAGTCAAAAATATTTCCATAGACATTTAATTAGAGACGCACTATTAACAATTTGGAGGAAAATAAGGAAAAAACATTATACAAAAGTACCAGTATGGATTTCAACAATGGAGGCAATGATTCACCCAAACAATTTGGAGCTTACCAAAATGATTAAATACAAAGACTTATTAGACCCACAAGGAAATTTGAAACCGAGGCTGGATCTTCAAGAGCAAGGACATAAAATTGATCAATGGGTTTACCTTCAGATTCAAAGCAGATATAAACAAGACAAAAAAGAATTCGGAATTAATAACAAACTGCAACAGTTAGATAAAATTTTATTAGGATCAAATAAAAAAAACATAACAAAATTTTATAACTACTTATTAGAAACAGAACTAGAAGAAGAAATCGTAAAAGGAAATATGATTGCTTGGAGTAAGAACGTAGGGCGCACATTAGCGGAATGGGAGAAAGTTTGGGGCAGAAACAATAAGATTACCAAATCGGCAGCATACAAGGAAAATCTTTATAAAATGTTTTATAGATGGCATCTCCCCCCTTCGAGGTTAGCGAAGATGCACCCCAACATGAGTCCGCATTGCTGGAAGTGTAGGAAAAAAGAAGGAACCTTTTTCCATATGTGGTGGTCTTGTGCAGAAACCCAAAAGTATTGGAAGAAAATCAAAACTTGGTTGGAAGAAATCACCAAAGAGCAGATCGAATACAAACCAGAGTCCTTCCTACTAGGGATTTTTGATAAGCAAATTTCCAAAAAAACCAAATACATAACAATACACATTTTAACAGCGGCCAGATTAGCCTTCGCTCAACACTGGGAACAACATCAAATTCCATCAGAAGAAATGATTATTGAAAAAATCTCAAAATGCGCAGAAATGGATAAATTGACTTTGGCGCTAAAAAACAAAGACACTTCACTATACTATGATAGCTGGAATTGTTGGTATAATTGGATTGACCAAAGATAAATAATATATTATAAGGCATAAAAGAAAAGTATCAATACATAATAACGAGGTAACGATATAAGTTAAAAACAGGTGTGGTTATATGACACAAGTTAAGGTGATGAAAACAAAAGAAGATCTTGCAAACTGTTAAAATAAGAATACTTTTAATCCTGTAACCTCTTTCTTTCTTTTCTCAAAATTCTTTCCCTCTCTTCCTCTTCTTTCTTCTTTCTTTTTTTCTTTCTTTCTTTTGCTTATTTGTGTATGTATTGTGACTGGTTTTAATTGTAAAAATTAATAAACTATATTTAAAAAAAATATATGAATGTATCGTTTGTAATTTTGAAAAAGTTTCAGACAACTTCACTGTGCATTCTCACATGCCCTAAAATACATTAGTGCCTTTGAATCTAAAGCCTTGCATAACCTAGCTTTCAGATCCTGTAGAGCATTTTAAGCCAGTAAATAATGCTTTTAGAAATCCTGGTTTTGTTCTGTGTAGTGACTGATCACTTTGTTTGAGCATCTCTATCAATTTTGAAGATAACATGATGTTTTTGGCAGACGTTCTTGTCCATCATTTTTCAACGGCTATATTGAGAGTTGCTTGGGAAATACAGTCAACCAGTTTGCTAAAAATGTACTATCTTAATTCCAGGTGAAGAATCATATGTGGGTATTCATAAACAGTCTGATTGAAAATCCAACGTTTGACTCGCAAACCAAGGAGAATATGACTCTTCAAACGAAGAATTTTGGTTCAACATGCAAATTCAGTGAAAAGTTCATCAAGGGGGTGAGTACTAAAAGGTTTGCTTCATAATTTGTTCTGGGAATTCTGATGAGCAAAAAATGAATTAATCCAGCAATAAGACATCTTATGGAACAATTCAGAATTCTTTCAACATCATTTTTCATTTTTGTTTTCTAGGCTGTTGGTTGCGGCATCGTGGAAAACATTTTGAACTGGATTAAATTTAAAGCCCAGACACAACTAAATCAGAAATGTTCCGCTGTTAAGCACACTCGAATTAAAGGCATTCCTAAACTAGATGATGCCAATGATGCTGGTATGCGTTCAAGTGTTAGAAGCACTGAAGCCCTCCTGTTTTTTACTAGTTAATTAAGTCGATGGGTACAGGGATAGGTAATTCTTCAGCTACTCACAGCCCTACACTACCTTTTTGACACCCCAATAAATTCTTCAACATGAGGATGCCAAATGCTGGAATAACCTTTTTTTGTGCCCTTTAAAATAATTGAAGCTCTCAAATGTCAGGACAGAATACGAAAAATGTTTGTCCTGCCCTTCCAGGTTGTAAGAAGGCTATTCACCTCTTTTGTAAGACTGCAACTCCTGAATACAAGGTTCAAATTTAGTTTATAGTTATAGAAATGGTACATAGATAATTTTGTGGGGGATTAGGGTTCTTGGGATTAATGGATAGAAAAGAACCAAAACTTCACTTTGAGGCAGTTTACATTGTAGACAAAATTATCCATAGAGAAGAGTTTTTGTAGCTCAGGATTGAAACAAGAGGTCCTTGATGCTCTCTGAGTTTGGTTATTTTGTTGTAGAAGTTTCATTACCCAAATTTGACATCATATATCATTCAAAGGAAAAACAATAAACCAAAAAAGGGAACAAAAATATCACAACACCTCACCACCAGATGAGCAGAGATTAACACCAAGATCAACACTAGAAGCAAGCAATATCCCAACCAAGAACTGCCAAACGTGTGATCAAAATTCAGATGCTTGGGTGAAAGCAGCCCAACCAAAACTATTCCCATCGATGTTAACAGGGCAAGCCGCTCGAATATAACATTGAGAGCAAATCCCAGTCCTTACTAGCACTGATTACCTTACCAAGTTTGGATAATAAGACATCTACAAGAAAACAAG